TCCACTGAGTCAAACCAGCTGGGACCCAGCGTGTTCTTTCTCTCTCTACCAGCCAACATTCTGTCTCATTATCTCTTCAGATTGTCTCAGTCCTGAAAAAATGGTCTCGTTCTATGTGAAATTTATGCAAATGCCAATAGAATTTGTGTAAAAACATCAAAGGATTTTTTAAAATTTATCTTTCTTTTTGAATGAATGATCTGCTTTATAGAGCTGAGGATCAAAACTGTAGAGAAAAGCTAGTAACAAAGATTATGAAAATTTAGAACATATAGGAGCTCATCCCGGAAACTGGTTACCAGAACTTTAGCAAATTTCATAAGGATTTTTTTAAAAGAAATATTTTCTAAATGCACATGTAAAATTATGTTATGGAGGTCTTATTTTAAATTATTGAAATTAAGTGGTCATTGAAAACAAAAACTTATTTATTTTATTTTATTAAATATATTTTATTGATTTTTTTACAGAGAGGAAGGGAGAGGGATAGAGAGAAACATCGATGAGAGAGAAACATTGACCAGGGATGTGGCTGCAACCAAGGTACATGCCCTTGACTGGAATCGAACCTGGTCCTTTCAGTCCATAGGTGGATGCTCTACCCACTGAGCCAAACCAGTTTCAGCAAGACAACTTTTTTTAAAAGGACCTTCATATAATGTGGGGCTGTGTTTACTGAAGAGTGCTGTGTTATTGCTGTCATTTTTGCTTTGCCTTTTCTCTGATGGAAGGGAAATGGTTTGGGCACTCCTTATATGTCCAAGAGAGATACCTTTGGCCTCTTTGCTGTATGAATCTAATTTGGAGCTGTGTATACGGTATAAAACCATCTATGTATATAAAAGGCTAATATGCTAAGTGTCCTTTCAGATAAAGACGTCACATAGCAGCACCTCTTCCTCTCCTTAGCAACAACTAGCCTCCTTGCAGTTTCTTCAGCTCAGAAACACAACTTGCTTTATAGCCAGGTGCAAACATTTCACACCTTAACCAAATGTCTATGAAGTTTTTTCCCCCCCTGTGCCTCATCTCATTTGATCCTCACACAAGTCCTGGAGTAGGCAGATAGGAGACTCAGTGGAATCTTATTTTTGTCTTCTGTAGGGAGTGGCTCTAGGGTTAAGCCTCAGACTTACCTTTGGCAGGGTCACAAACAAGTCCCAGCTTGGAGGGCAGAGCCCTCTTAGCTTAATTAAGCTTAACCTTATAGCCCTCCCTAGTTCCTTCCTAGACAGTTAATGGGCTGTGGGAGGTGCAGCAACTGCTGCCAAAACAATGTGAAACTCACAAGAACATTGTAAACATGTTGACTACTCCCCTTGTTTTGATCTCACTATAAAATAAAGCCATGGCTTGCAGGCTGGATCTTTTTGTGTCCTCATCCAGGTCCGAGCCCCAGCTGTATTCTCTTGTCTGTCTTTTCTTTAATCCTTCACCTCCCCTCCTCAGGCTCACCGAACCCTTGGCTGCGCTGGCACAGCACACTTTTCATTAGCCAGAAAACGGAGATTTAGGAAGCTTAGAAACTTGACCCAACTGAAAAGTAAGAAACTGTGGGCCTTGAAAATGACTTCAGGTTTTCTCACTGTGCAAAATATAGTCAAATGCTGCTACAGTTAAATATTTTACCCTTTGTTCTCCCTGTGATCTTCAATAATAATATGCTTCATGTTGATATTTACTGCTGTGTTGCTGACAATTACCTGAAGGAGAAGTTGGGCTTCACTGGGCTGGAAAAAGTTTGGCTAAATCATAAAGCAGGTCTAATTAAGCAAGTTTATTCTATATCTATAAAAGGCTAAGTTGATTTGCGCATGCAAGATAATATAAAGTTCTCACTGGCACCAATCGCACATGTGTTTCCGTCTGTCATTGTTGATCATGAATTTGGTTGACACTTCTATTGTAGAGAAAAGTCAAATAGTGATATTAAAATATTCTAATTCATTTCCTTTCAATGTGCACAGATTCGTGCACTGGGCCACTAGTGTTTGAAATAAGGTTCCTAATAAACCTTTTCCTGCATAGAATGTCACTTAACTGCCTGCTTTTCATTAATAACTGGGCATTAACTCCTAAATAGTGCCATCATCATAAAACACAGTCCAGGCTCCACTGCTCACCATTGAAGTATTAGACAATTATGCAGTATTCAACCAGACTCTGAACATGTCTAATTTGGGAGAGAATGGTGCCCACATATATCTTAATGGAAAGAATGACCAGACCTTGGCAATGTAATGGCTGCCAAAAGAACAATAACCAGCTCAGCTTACACTCAGAATGCATTCCCAGCAGAAAAAGAGATATACTTGGTAGAAACAGAAAAATATAATAAAACAGACTCCTGTTGGCAGAGCATATATATTTATACATTCTTCTGTGTTTAGCTCAGTGGTTCGAAAAACAGTTCCTGGAAAGACTGCAGAACACAAATGTTTTCCATTTGCATTTGTACATTTCACCTAATTGGTCCCTGGGACAAGGTTCACTGCTCTGGAGGTGGCTTGGCTCAGTCTTTAACAAACACAGTAATAAATTTCAGGTTTGGGACAGAAAATGGCTGCTCCATATCAAACAATCACAAGAACTTGGAATTGTTTCCCACAAAAATCTTAAATAGCCATGCAAGATCACTGGGTAGTGGGCTCTTCTGCTGTCTCCATACACATAACTGAGTTCCTTGCTCTGGGGACTCGGGGCTTGCCTGCTTTTAAAACCCAGATTTGGCAGATTCCTTCACTTTTGTAAAGAGAACATTGTGGACGAAAATAGGGCAAAGGTGATCTGAGTGCAATTGGATGTACTGAAGGACACTTCAGAATAACCTTAAAGCGAGAAGATTCGTTTGGGCTGAGCAGGCTTGTTTTGTTTTTCCTCTCAGCTCTTTGAAGTAAATGAAAATGCAAAAGAAAGTCATCTTTCATTCATTTTCATGCTGACACATCTAGCGATAGTTTAGGGATTTTACTTCATCTGATCCAGCCCACCGGAAAAGTCAAGAAAGTGGGTAATTGAATATGAAAACTTGTTTTATGTCAATGGGAAAGAAGAAAGCTAAAGTCACAGACACCCCTTAATCAGAACGACAGAGCCCGTACTGTGTGCCCTCACCCCAGCCTGCACACCTGGGGCAGAGTTTCCAAACACTTCATTCTGACTCTCCCAGAATCAGACGCAGTTATTCGGCCTGGCAGATGACTTGCCTGTGTCCTCAGAGTGAGTCACAATTTGCATTGGGCCAGTAGGAAAATAGTAAAATAAATGTTGGTTCCATGAATTCCTCTATCTGTAAAAGATTGACCATGGACTGTGGTTTCCTTATGGGGGGGGGGGGATTTCCCTTTGTGTGACGCTGTGTTTGTCCCAGTTGTGCCACTCATGGTCTGTGAGGTGTGCACAGGCTGTGCAAGCCTCCTGTCTGGGCCTCCGTTTCCTCCTTCCTGATGGGAGCAGGGTGGGTGGGATGATCACCTAGGCCAGTGGTCGGCAAACTGCAGCTCACAAGTCACATGCCGCTCTTTGGCCCCTTGAGTTTTTAGCAAAAGCCAGCTTACGAGTACCCTTAATTAGGGTTAATAACAATGTACCTTCCTATATATTGAATAGTTTAAATTTAAAAAATTTGGCTCTCGCCCTAGCTGTTTTGGGTCAGTGGATAGAGTGTCAATCTGCAGACTGACAAGTCGGGGATTTGATTCCCGTCAGGGGCACATGCCTGGGTTGCAGGCTTGATCCTCTGAGGGGGTGTGCAGGAGGCAGCTGATCAATGGTTCTATCTAAATTGATGTTTCTCTCTTTCTCCCACTCCCTTCCTCTCTGAAATCAATAAAAAATATATTTTTAAAAAATTTGGCTTTCAAAAGAAATTTCAATCGTTATACTGTTGATGTTTGGCTCTGTTGACTAATGAGTTTGCCGATCACTGCCCTAGGCCTTTCCTAGCTTTTGCATCCTGAAGTGCAGCTTCTGTACATAGGTGAGAGCATCAGTTCATCAACTACAGACAACTTGGGTTGTCCAGTGGATAAATACTTCAGACAAATGTGAATGAACAGCAACACTCAAGTCCGGCAGAAAGCTTGTGTGGGCTTGCTGGAATGCTCGGAGGAAGTTCTGGGTGGGGAAGCACTCCCACACGCTGCGCGGGGGTTGTCAGGTGGCAGTGCCCCCTCCGTGCGGGTGCTCACTGGAGGTGGTCTGCTGAAGATCATAACGGGCAGCGTGAGATGCTCAGGATACAACCTGGCATCTGAGGTTCGGGTTCCTGCACACGTCTGACTCTCCCTACCAACCCAAATGCCCTCGCCTTGTACGTTGGCGAGTTATGTCACTTCTAAAATGTCTGTTTGGTTATTTTTAAAAAAATGAAGATAAGCGGCCGAAACCGGTTTGGCTCAGTGGTAGAGCGTCGGTCTGCGGACTGAAAGGTCCCAGGTTCGATTCCAGTCAAGGGCATGTACCTGAGTTGCGGGCACATCCCCAGTAGGGGGTGTGCAAGAGGCAGCTGGTCGATGTTTCTCTCTCATCGACGTTTCTAGCTCTCTATCCCTCTCTCCTCTTCTCTGTAAAAAATCAATAAAATATATTTAAAAAAAAAAAATGAAGATAAGCCAAAACCGGTTTGGCTCAGTGGATAGAGCGTCAGTCTGTGGACTGAAAGGTCCCGGGTTTGATTCCGGTCAAGGCCATGTACCTGGGTTAGGGGTATGCAAGAAAGAGGCAGCTGATCAATGATTCTCTCTCATCGATGTTTTTAACTCTCTATCCCTCTCTTTTCCTCTCTGTAAAAAAATCAATAAAATATATATTTTTAAAAAGATAATATCTACTTTTCAGTGTAAATGCTTACGATAATGTATTGGCAAGTGTCTAGCAAATAGGTGGAACTTGACCAATAGGTAACTAAGACCAGCAATTTGTATCAGACAAAACAACTAAGATAACCTTATTTGAAAGCCAAGGGGGAAAACCACAAATGTGCAGTAATATCAGTTCACAGAGTATTTATTTACAGATGCAGAGATTACCTACAAGGTCCTAGGGTCACAATACTTGGAAACAGTAGATTGGGGATTTAAGTCCTCTGATTCCAAAACACCATTGTGTTCCTTTTACAATATGCTACCAACACACCATTACCCTTGGTTGGTTTATAGTATAGTTAAGGTTAAGCTTTGGTGATTCTGGAAAAGGAAATAAATGATTAGAATGGTAATAGTTCCTGTTGGGGAGGGAGGTGTCTGTCCTTACGCCCCTTTTATATCACCACAGCAGCCATTTAAGACAAACCCAGGAAAACCGTGGCCAGCTGTGTCTCGCTCTGTGGGACTTAATTCTGAAGCAGCTCCTGGGGATAGCTGGAGGATTTGAAAATCTCTGGGATGTCACTGTCCAGCTTCGAAATAACTTTATAAATGGGTTTCTTCCAGGAAGGATCTGAGTCTTTCCCTGCAGAGACAGCTCTGAAGAACTCCTGTAATGTCAAGCTGGCGACCTCCAAGAAGCAATCCGGGACCTGCATTCCCAACGAGATACACAAGAAAGAGAAGACATGAGGCTGGGAAGCCCTGGAGCCCTCACTGCCTGACGCTCCTGTTCCCGGGTTGACTGATAAGAGCATTCCTGCTCTACTGGGCCCTGATTCTTGCAGCTGTAGGAATCCTCTGCCCCCTCATCGACTACAAACCTTAAGAGGCTGATACCAATGAGACAGCCCTGGGAGAAAGCCTATTAAGGACACTCCATTTGTAGCAGGAGCTGATTCCACTCATGGCAGACATTCTGGCTTTGATTGAAACGAAACCTTGGTTCAAAAGAGGTGTTAGCATTCTTTTCTTTAGTGCGTACCATGGAAAAGAGTGCCCCCTAGTATATGACTGTCGTGCTGCATCCCACCATCTTTAGAGGCTGGATGCATGGGCCTTGGAATCATTTCTGTTTCCAAAATCAACCATGAGGTTGAGGGGGCTAAAGAATATGTTCCAGGACCACACTCGGACTGGCACCCACTGGTCCTCCCGACCCAGCCTGGCCCGGGCTTGCCACACTGCATGCCAAGCGGCCACCCCACCTGGGGAGATGTGGCAGCACTGCCTGCCCCACACAGCCTGACCCTCCATTGCCTCAGGCGGCCCGGTCCATTCCACCCACAGAGCAGCTTAGTTCCAAACATATTCAGATGAAGCACCTGACCAGCACTTGCCAGCAAGTCTCCCCTTTCCTGAAGGTATCAATACACTGCTCACTGTGATCACAGTCAAGTGAGAAATCAAGAAGAGGTGAGTGGGCTGGGTGACCAGACACACCTGGCACCCGCAGAACAAGGCGCCGGGCGCACAGAGCTGTCGGCTGCACGCTGGGAAACGCGGGTCTGGATCCCGAGTTCTCTCAGACCACTCGCTCTCCCTTTTCTGATGCCTTACCCCTAAGGTGCTACCAAAGGACTAAGAAGCTTGAGTATTGTTTTTTCATTGTTTCCAGAAAGGATTTTTGAGATGACTTGCCAGGAAGGTCCACAGAAGAAACTGTTCAAGTGAGAATAAAGATAAGAACCAAATAACGGACAGAGATTGTTGTAAAGAAAACTTGGGCCAAGCCTAGGTGCTGCAACTGAGCCCAGCATTTAGTCGTGGCCCTCCAGGTCAGTTGGTAATCACGGACTGTTAAGCCTACGAGTGAAGTGACATAATCCCTGGCAGGCCTCTGCTGACTCGGTGTGCAGCATCCACCTGTTGCCTAAGAGAAGCTATGGAGGCTGTAATCTTTGCAGATGGGACAGAAGTTAGCCCGGGCTGCCCTGGCTCTCGCTGATGTAAAGACAGACACACAGAAGGGGCTCTTTCCTAAAACTCCAACCTCCTGGGACCCCAGGTACATGCTCTTACCTCAAAGTCATTCCCCTTGTTATAGTGCATATTGAGAGCTCGAAAAAGTTCTGAGTCGCGGAGAATCACGAGCATTTTGGCACTGGTGACGCCATCTGCGATGGCCTGCCGGGCAGATTTCTCCATTTGGATGTAATAGAACTCTCGGAAGTTGCTGAACCACTTGATCATCTGGGAGGTGATGCAGCGGTTGAACTGCACAAGCAACAAGGTCCATCAGTCAGCCGTGTACCACCAGGAGCTGAGGGGTGGAACTGTCAGCGTCCAGTTCAACAGCAGATTAATTGGAATGGCTTCAGCCAACACGAGAAGGGCCTCTTTTGAAAAAGAAGCCATGGCCCTAGCTGGTTTGGCTCAGTGGATAGAGCATTGGCCTGTGGCCCAAAGAGTCCTGGGTTCGATTCTGGTCAAGGGCACCTACCTTGGTTGCAGCCTCCTCGGGCCCTGGCTCTGGTTGGAGGCAACCAATCGATGTGTTTCTCTTACATTGATGTTTCTCTCTGTCCTTCCCACCCCTCTTCCACTCTCCCTAAAAAAAGATCAATGGAAAAATATCCTCAGGTGAGGATTAACAAAAAAAGAAGAATTAGCATCAGCCATGGCTATTTTCTAAGCCATGTTCAGAAAAATCTAGATTAGTTGTAGTGCCCACTAGAAGGAGAAAAAAAAAAGTTTTTTATGTCCTCAATTTATGAAGTTTTTTCACCCATGAAAAGCTCACCATGTGCCGAAACCGGTTTGGCTCAATGGATAGAGCATCGGCTTGGGGACTGAAGGGACCCGGGTTCAATTCCGGTCAAGGGCATGTACCTTGGTTGCGGGCACATCCCCGGTGGGGGGTGTGCAGGAGGCAGCTGATCGATAACTCTCTCTCATCGATGTTTCTAGCTCTCTATCTCTCACTCTTCCTCTCTGTACAAAATCAATAAAATATATATTAAAAAAAAAAAAAGAAGAAGCATGCATTCTAAAAAAAAAAAAAAAAAAAAAAGCTCACCATGTGACTTTGGGAATGTCCAGAGTCAAGGCCAGTTTTGGTACCAGCTTCTGTTGTGCCTGGGCCAATTGCATGGCAGCCCCAGAGCCCCAGGGTGAAGGGAAGGAGTGAGTGTGAAGATCAGAGAGCAGTTAAACAGCAACTTGGAGTTGCAGAGTGAGTGGGAATCAGAGCTTGGGGTAGGGATCAACCACCAAGCCACAGAACATGAGGGGAAAACCTGGGAAAGGCAAAGGAATGACATAGATACACAGGATTAGCCCTAACCCAATTCCCAAGGAAGCGGGGGCCCTTAGAAACTTTATGGGAACAGGCAAGGTCTGGATCCAACCATCAGATTTTCCTTGTTGTCACACTTGATTGGATGTATCCCCACTCCCTTTGAAACACAGCTATTTGGATGCCCGTTCAACAGTGTCCAACTCTCTGTATATTCTGTCTTTTTCACAGTGTCCTCGGCAAAGACAGAACACTGGGCCAAAGACCCCATTTACTAATGTTTCTCATTGGCGCCCCCCCCCCCCCCCCCCCGTTTCCTTCCCACGTGCTTCTGTGTGTACACTCCAAAGCTCAACTCTCCTAGCTCCAAGTTATTCATGATTGTTCAGGCCAACTCTCACCCCTGAACTGGAAATCACCCCAGTGCAGCCAACATGAAGGGGAGCTCAGGTGCACACGTGATGACCTAGGACTGGCCTCACACCTCACACAGGGTGAAACCAATGCCACTGGGAGTTGTGAGAAGCTGACACTCAGTAGGATGACTTTACCTGGACGTCAGGGAAATACGCCTTCAGGAGGCTGGAGCTGGGATAGCGTGTGAAGAAAAACATTAGTTTGGCCTTCTTCAAGTGACCAGGATTTAGACCCTCCTGGAATTACCCCCGGGTCAAGGAAAATGAACAGCTGTTTATCAAATAATACTATCAAATTATCCAAACAGTGAATTAGTTGTCCTGTTCCTTATGCTTTTTATTTTTTATTTTGGTTGAATTATGTATTTGCTCCATTTCTGTGTCTCTGACAAGTCTGATCCAGTATGTTTTTTCTTTCCGGGTGCTGAAAACCATATATGCACAGCACAGTTGCAGAATTTAAAAACCACCTCGATGTGTGAAAGTTCTATGCCATAAATAAGTTTGCTGTACTTTGCATGTGCTTTCAGAATAGGATAGAAAGAGATGGCAGCTCTTTCCCAGATAAATATTTTAAAACCCCAAGAAGAGATTTACTTTCGCTTTTGCCTCAGTTTCCTCATCTGTAAAATGAGAAGAGTCAACTCGATGATCCCCATTCTCACTCTCATAATTGCCTTTGCAGTGGGTAAGCCAACAAGTGTCTAACCAGACAGTAGCAGATCACCGCTGGCTTTGCCTCAAGGAACTTGAGTTGCTGCTCTGCACCTGCTCTCGGTCCGCCTGGAAGAACTCCTCTCCTCCTTCCTATCTCAGCTCAGCCACTTCCTCCTCGGGGAAACCTTTCCTTGCCCTGGGCTACCCCCGCTCTGTGCACATACCTCTGTTGTAGCAATTGACCTTATTGCAATTTTCACGGCATGTTTGACTCCCTGTTTAGACTGTGAGGTCCTCGGGGGGCAAGGACCTTATACTTTCATCTTTGTATTCCTCATGCCTAGCCCAGTGCTAGGAATATAGTAGGTGCTCAATAAATGTTTGTTAGATAAAGGAATGTGGGAATGATTAAATGGTCAACTTTAATCCATGCACAGCTAGGAAAAATGTCTTCCACCCATATCTCAGTCTGGGAATAGATTCCTTCCCCTTTAACAAGAGCAGGGAGCTGTGGTATGACTGCCTCGCACCAGAATGGGAGGGAAACGAAGGTGTTTTTGTTGTTGTTGTTGTTTTTTTACACAGAAATATTAAGCATTGCCGGGGACAGTCTCAGGACCAGATGAGAAGCTTTACCCAGGAACCTTGGAGGTCTCGGGTCTGGCAGCTATAGCTTTAAGACTCCTCAGTAGGATATACCAGTTTAGCTAAAGGAAATCAACTCAATAGAGTTCTAGCTGGCCTGGCACTCAGGCTGCTTCCTGAAGCCCCTTGCACCTGCCTCACTGGCACTTCTTACTCTTCTCACAGGTTCACACACGTGTGGACAGAATCCTGGACTTGGGCGTCTGAAGACCCAGTTTCAGATACTGATTTTGCCACCGATTAGTTGTGTGGGTTTGGGCAAGCCACTTACCTTCTCTGGGCCACTTCTAAATGTAGTGGTGACAGTTTGGCAGTCAGACCCTGGTTTGAATCCTGGCTGTCTTGTGACTTTGGGCAAGTTCACTTTTCTGTCCCAGCTCTCAGCTACCGGGTCTAACGTGGATGCTTAGGGCCCACAACCTATCATGTGAAACACTGGCCAAAAGGAGGCCAGATCTCAGAATTCTGTTCGTTTATGCAGGTGATCTGGTCTGTGTACCATAGGTCAGTTAATCCCACAGCAGAGGCTGTGGCAGCCGTCTGTAGTCCAATACATTAATATTTCCACAGTAAAATGGATGACTATTTACACTCAGTCGGGCGATCTATAAGTCACCTCCCATCAGTGCAGGTCAGGTTTTGCCACCAAAAACAAAGCTCCCATCAGCCTCAGGGAAAAGAAATTGGGGGTTTTCTGAGCTTTGCGAGTTCCAGAATGTAGCTCAGTGGTAGTGGACTCGTACGTGGGAAACGCTGGCCAGCAGTGCCTGCCGCAGAGCAAGTGCCACCTCATTATTAGCTGCTAATCATACCTGCTTCACGGGGATGTCATGAATGTGGAAGTTCTTCTATGGGTCAGAGTTATCTTGCTCGTAAGTGGCTTTCCTGACCCCCAGGAGTGCATCTCTAATGCTGGGATGTAGGCAGCTGGAATGGAATATGTGGGGGGTCGGGATGCTGCCTGGGGGCTCCAGATCATCCTAAACGTAGCCGAGTACCTCACCTGTGCAGCCAGGCCCAGTGCTTGGGCCCTGAGGCTCTCTGAGCCCAATCCTCATTTCACCGGGCAGGGCCAGGCGCACAGTAGGTGCTGAGAAAGGTCAGCAGGCCCCTCCCACGGGAAGTACAGCAGAGGAGTTGTGGGGACTGAGTTCTTGAGTTCCTTCCGACATTGCCTGACCTTCACAGGGAGTCTTCACCAGACGGTAGCCTTTCTCACACAGGGTGATCGCCTACCAAGAAAACCTGTCTATGCTGCTATCTTTATACCAGCAGAGGCAGTGGTGGCAGGTGACATGCTTTTGGCATTGGTTTTATTCTTGCTCCTGCCTGCCTGGAAAGCACCCGGCAGCACCCAGCTTTGGGGTGTTCCCAACATCTGTGACCAGCAGGGGGCGCGCATAGCATTCAGGACACAAGAGCCGGTCCTGGTGTGGCAATGAGCTGGTCCCACCCCGTCCTGCCGCCCTCACTACAGCTTGCCAGACTGTTCACACCACAGGCACATCGACCTCTGGACACTCGATTCAGGCTGCCCTTGAGAAGCAGCGGCGTGAGCTCAGCTCACTTTAAAAAGGCAACATCCCGAAATGTGCTGTCAGGAACGTTAAGTCCTACAAGACAGGCGTTGGTCACATGAGTTTGGGACCGCATACATTCTCCTCTTAAGAGCTTCACAGTGGACTTCAGCATGTTAAAGGCTCTGAGAAGTCCCGCAGCAAAGACATGAACCCAGGATTTACTATACTATTTCTCCCTTCCCCCCCCCCCCCCCCCCCCCGCCCCAGCTCAGCAACCATTAATATCCGGAGGGAGCTTTACTCTGGGAAACACTATGTAAGAAAGGAGTGCTCGCTTCGGCAGCACATATACTAAAATCGGAACGATACGGAGATTAGCATGGCCCCTGCGCAAGGATGACACGCAAATTTGTGAACTGTTCCATATTTAAAGAGAGAGAAAGAGAGAGGAGAGCCTGCCTCACGGTGGCAAAGGTGATGCAAAAGGTCCAGACTCCTGCACACCAGCCTGGCCCCTCAGCCTTCCCCAGGGGCTCTCCTCTCCCTCCACATGCCCAGCCCCCCTTCAGTCCTCTCGGCTGCAGCTGAGACGCTGCTCCTTACACGGAGGGCTCCTTCCCCCGGCCCAGCTGCTTCAGGTCTAGTCCCCGAGGAAAACGTCTCCTTCCCCGTCTGGCTCAGAAGTGCCTGGGCCCTCAGATCTTCCTCATGGATTATCTAGACCAGCCATCGCTAACCGGTGCTCCGCGAGGTCCCAAAGGTTGGCGAGTGCTGATCTAGACCTTGTGGGCCTTTTGCCAGGAGACCAGGAGGCTGGGAGCCATGCCTCGGGTGAGGCCATCCCTTTGACCCTCCCTGCTGAGGTGTGTAGGCAGCTGACAACCCAATGTGGAGCTCTTCCTTCCATAGGGGATTTGTCATATTTTGGAAGCCCATTGGAGCTTAAAAACAACGCCCTTTCAGACCCAGAGCCTTTAAGTGAGTGGTGGCAGAATCTGGTGGCAGAACCTTCCCTCCCAGCAGGCTTAACCCTGGAGGGAGGTCACCACGGCCTCGGGAACCTTGTCCCGGGAAGGAAGCCCACCACCAAAGACACGCCGTTCCCGTTGCCAGGTAGCTCTCTGTCCCCGCCTCCCCTCCTTCCCCATCCCCGCTCCGGGCTGTCCCTGGAGAACTTCCCTTTCCGGCAAAGGATATGTGGACGGAGGGGAACGGGAGCCCCTCGGCGGCAGCCTGCAGGCCGCCCTGCTCCATCTTCACGCAGGGGAGGAAGGGCAGCTTCTCCAGGCAGGCGGAAGCCAAGGGCACGGGGTGCTGCGGGCTCACCACCGAGGGCCGCAGTGTGACAGCTCCCCAAGGCCGCAGGGCAGGCTCCGGGGAGGAGGGACTTTGGGACGATGCACCCTGGGGGAGACGGCCCCTCCAGGGACCCGGGGGTCCGTGACCCAGGAGCTGACCTAGAATCTGGCTTTCCTGCAGGTGGGAAGGCACGGCCACAGCACAGTTGGTTGGGGGGCCCCGGCAGGGTTTGGAGGTCATTCTTGGGGAGACGGGGTATCTAGGAGAGTCTAGAGGCTTGGCCAGTGATGAGTTTCCCAGTGGGCACCCAGCCTGGGCCTGGGCCTGGGCCTGGGCCTGGGCCCCCATGGGCAAGGCGGCCAGTGGGAGGGGGTTTTCACAGGCACCTCCCTCGGGTGAAGTCTCGCTTCTGCCCCCTGGCACCGGCCCCCGGAAGCTTCGGCCCCGCTGGGTCAGGTGGCCTGGCGGGTCCAGTAGGACCTTCTGTAACACGGAGTCCACAGCCTGGGACACTGCCCCCCTCAGTTCTCTCCTCAGGGTCTCCAGCAAAGCTCGTGTGCCAGAAGGAAGGAGCCTGGCTTCCTCAGGCTGGCGATCGACCTCAGCCACCCTGTGTTCCTCCAGCCCAGGGAGGTCCCCGCTGGAACCCTGGAGGCGGCCGCTGTCCATGGCCCAGGGCTGCCGCCCACAGCTGTCCCTCTGCTCTGCACTCCGAGGGCTGGGCGCAGGCCCCCGGGGCTCCATCTGCAGGATGTGCGCCTGCAGCTGTCTCAGCTGCTGCTTCAGCAGGTGAAGCTGTTCTCTCACGCGAGGGCCCCCCTTCCTGCTGCCCTGGCTCCCAGCAGGGCCTGGCTTCAGCGGGGGCTGCTGCATGGGGAGGTCCTGCTTCCTCTTCCGCTCCCGGGCCTTCTCGGGGCAGCCGGGGCTGTCCCGGGCCCGGGCACTGCCGAGCACCAGGGGGCTGGGGGAGAGGCACATGCCTCGGATGATGGTCTCCACGCGGGCCCTCTTTGCCTGAATGTGCTCATCCCAAAACCAGTCAGGGTCGGTGAGGCTGGGGTTGGGGCCCTGGTTCCAGGGAAAGGAGGTGTCTCCGCCCTGCTCACGGGGCGATGGGCTTCTCCTGCCTTCCACACAGGGCTCTGCCGGCTGGGAACCGGCCCGGGATGGCGCAGGAAGCAAGCCAGCGCTCCGATCCATCCCCTGCTCCATGAGGAAATCCCTCTCCTAATGTCCTTGGCTGGGGGTGCAGCTGAATGAGCCGGGTTGAGGATTCAGCCTCTGGGATACTGGGGTTTAGGAACCTCCTGGGGTGACTCTGAAATTAAAGACAAGAAGAATAGCTAACATTTGGAAACAGCCTAGGTGCCCGTCAGCGGATGACTGGATCAGAAAACTATGGTACATCTACACAATGGAATACTATGCTGCCATAAAAAAGGAGGAATTCTTACCATGTGCAGCAACCTGGATGGAATTGGAGAACATTATGCTAAGTGAAATAAGCCAGTCAGTGAAAGAGAAACACCACATGACCTCACTCACTTGTGGATAATAAAGAACATTACAGACTAATGAACAAAAAGATAGATACAGAGGCACTAAAGCATCAAACAGACTGTCAAATTACAGCGGGGAGGGAAGGGAGATATGGGGGAAATAAGAGATCTACTGAAGGACTTGTAAGCATGCATATAAGCATAACCAATGGATGCTAAACACTGGGGGGTGAGGGCATGTATGGGAGTGGGGTGGGAGGGCAATGGTAAGATATGTACACATATAATACCTTAATAAAAACAAACAAACACAGGGAGAGCACAATACATGTGACGCTCAGGGGTGCTTTTCAAACTTGAATGTGTGCTCAGGCCACCTGGGGACCTTGTCAGAACGCGGATGCTGACTCCCGGGTCTACGAGGGGCGGGGGCCGCGTCTCTCCCCAGACCCCAGCTGCCGTGGTACTGCTGGTTTGGGACCACACTCTGAGGATTCCCGAGTGAGTGATCCTCCAGAGAGGAAGTTCTGCCTGGGCATAGCAGTAACACAAGAATGGCAATAAAAAAAAAAAAAAAACAACGATGACAGTGAACCGCGTCACTGACGTTATGCCAATAACGCAACATCCATCACCTGATTTAATGACCATAAGAACTCCCTGAGGATGTTGTCATTCCTACTTGACAGATAAAGGAACCGGCTCAGAGCGGTTATGAAGTTGCTTCCTGAAGTCATACAGCTAGCAAGTGGCAAGCTGGAGTCAAGGCAAGATTTGTCCGATTCAAAGTAACTTTCGTAGTGACTACCTGCAACGGAGTCATCCAGCAGTGTTAAAAATAGCAGGTTCAGCCCTCTCTGGTTTGGCTCACTGGATAGAGCGTCAGTCTGTGGACTGAAAGGTCCCAGGTTTGATTCCGGCCAAGGGCACATGCCTGGGTTGCGGGCTTGATCCCTAGTGGGGGCGTGCAGGAGGCAGCCAATCAATGATCCTATCTCATCATTGATGTATCTATCCCCTTCTCTGTCCCTTCCTCTCTAAAGTCAATAAAAAATATATTTTTAAAAATAGCAAATACAGCAGTCAGTTCTGCTACCGCGTTTCCCTGAAAATAAGACATCCTCCAAAAATAAGACCTACTTACAGGTTTCCTTCTGAGTGAAATATAAGGCATCCCCCGAAAATAACCCTCCCCCCCCCAGGCTCTGTCTCAGAAACTTTGTGAAACCTAAACTGCAAGAAGTTGTGACTTGGGTGAAGAATTCATGGGAGAAAATCACTGACAGTTGCATTGCAAATGCACTGCAAGCAGGCTACCTTGACAAGAAGTACTCATTTAAAGACAGTGCTATTGCTAAACATGAAAGATTTGGTCCACTGATTCTGAAAGAAATGGAGTCACAAGAAATTCACCAGGAAATTCAGGAATTGGATTGTTATGATGATGTTCCAGAAGATGATGACATGATTGTCATTGAATAAATGAGTAAATTCTTGATACTGTAGGATTCACAGTTTGTCTGGTTTGTGTTGACAACTACCGTATTACCGTACCATATACAGATAATAAATTTCCTTTATTTTCATTTAACAATAAATGTGTACCGTATTCTTCTTCATGGAAAAATAAGACATCCCCTGAAAATAAGACCTAGAGCATCTTTGGGAGCAAAAATTAATATAAGACACTGTCTTATTTTTGGGGAAACAGGGTAAATCAGAATCCCCCAGTGTTGGGGTAGGGAACCTGCCTTTGAAACAAATCAAAAATTGAGAGCCAGCTGACCGGCTCCTGGGAGAATCAGCTTATGCATTCATTTGCATGTGCTCAACATGGAACAGCTATTTATTAAGCATGTCCCATGCATCAGGCATTCTCTGGGCACTTGGAGAGACAGACAGTGGGAACCAGAGCAGCAGAGTCTGCTCTCCTGGAGCTGGCTGCCTAGCAGGAGAGAGAGAATAAACAGTTGGTTTTCAGGTCCTGATCCCTGTTAAGAAGAAGCACAATGGGGATTGGAAATGAAGGCCTGGGGAAAAGAAGGGGCTATTTTAGGAAAGGCTGTCTTATTTCCACCAAGTTTCAAGATACACTAAGCTTTAACCTGGAGGCTTCTGATAGCAGGTGGAAGACACTTTGAGTTTATGAAATGCTGTACGTTACCTCATTGCACCTCACACCAAACCTGAGAGTCAGGGTCACTCTCCCAGCCGAGAGTGGCTCTCAGTTCCAAATCTTTTGATACCAATTTTTTTGCGCAACCGCACTTCAGCTACCTCCCTGCAGGTAGAAGGACTTTTCTGTTAAGCAGATTCCTCCTTTCCTACAAGAGGTAAATGATTCCCGCCCCTCCCGCTCCCCCAATAAATGTCCCCTATCCTTTGTTCCTCTTGCGCAAAACGCTGTCTGGCAGGAGGGTTTGCTTTCTCCTTCCCACTTTCATCCTAATGCTTACTGGGAATTCTCTACCTCAGGCAAATCTCAGCTCTTCTGTGGTCAGTGGGTCTCCCCTCTGAGGCCAGTGGGTCCTCGTCCGTAGACACGGCCACAGCCTCTACCTGCAGCCTCCTGGCGACTAGCAGAGACACCCAACACAAGCTCCCTGTGAGAAATGTCACTCTACTCCTCTGCTCCAGAGCAGAGGGCGGGAGGTGGGGACAGCTGCAGTGCCACCAGGGGCGACATGCCGCTCGCTGGAAGAAGGCAAGGTTCTGGGGTCAGAATAATGAGAAGGTTCTTGCTTTGAGTAAGACATTTGTAAATTACAAACATAAAAACAGATGATGTGAGCCCTGGCCTGTGTGGCTTAGTTGGTTGAGTATCGTCTGATGCACCAAAAGGCTGTGCGTTCAATTCCTGGTCAGGGCACGTGCGCAGGTTGCAGGTTCAATCCCCTGTCAGGGTGCATATGGGAGGCAATCAATAGATGTTTCTCTCTCCCCCTCTCGCTTTCTCTCTCTCTAAATCAACAAAAATATTTTTAAAATAATTTTTAAAAATAACTTGACAAATTAATATAATTAAAGAAATTATTGCCAAGTTTAATCTAACACCTTTGGAGTCACTATCCTTAACACTTACTTATGTTTTCTATAAATTTATTTTTACTAGAGGCCCAGTACATGAAATTTGTGCATGGGGGCTTCCCTCAGCCCAGCCTGTACCCTCTCCAATCTGGGACCCATCTGGGCTTTAGGATTGGGCCTACACTGGCAGTTGGACATCCCTCTCACAATCTGGGACCACTGGCTCCCTGCTCACCTGCCTGCCTGCCTTATCGCCCCTAAGTGCCCCTCCTGCTGACCTGGTCACCCCCAACTGCCCCTCTCCCGTGCTGGCCTAGTTGCTCCCAACTGCCCCACCACCATCGGCCTGTTGCCCCATATACCTGTTTGGTTGTCTGTTCAGTTGTGATGGTTGCTTAGGCTCTTATTATTATAGATTACATTGACGGATGATATTATTGTATTTTAGTTTCAGGCATACAACATAGTGATTAGACATTTATATGCATTATGAAGTGATCACCCTGATAGGTTTAGTATCCTTTGACACCATACATAGTTATTGACTATATTGACTATATTCCCTGAGTGGTACTTTGCATTCCCATGGCTGTTTTTACAACTGGCAATGTTTACTTCTTAATTCCTTTCACCTTTTTCACTCATCCCCCCCCTTCCTTCTCCCATCTGGCAACCATCAACACTCACTCACGTTGAGCTGTCCTGGGCTTTGGGTTCCATGAGCATCCAAACTCCTTTGTGCCTCATGTCTTTGCCCTCACTCTTCCCTCGGCCTGGAAGGCCTTTCTCCCACTTTTCCACCTGATAAACCCGGCTCTTCCTCTAAAACCCAACTGCAATGTCGCCACCCCTCTAAGGTGATCACATGACTTCCCCTTCAGACTGTGAGCTCCCTCCGTGTCTCCCAAGTAGTGCCCGGCTGCCAGCTGTTACCACATAGATGTTTGCCGACTCCGTTGAATTAATTGTTCTGTAGGCGCTTCATTTACGAATAGACTGACTTCTTGTAGTAGAGGCGCTTTACTGGTATTTCAGATTCATGTAGCAACTATACATGGAACAAAGTCAATACAGAGAAAGAGGGAGGAAGAGAGAGAGAGACCACACATGTGCGAGAGAGCATAGACCCACACACTTGGCCAGCTCTCCCTTGTGGGTAGTTAAGGTATGGTGTCTGAGGTTCCCAGTAGTGTGTGTGTGCTCCAGAAGCCAGAACTACAATATTAGGAGCTCGGCGTGTCTCATGAAGTGACAATCAGCAGGAAAGTCTCCAGGCGGGAATCTGGAAATGCAGCCAGACTCCGCTGCGGTCGGGCACCCGGAAGTGTCTGTGCCCGTCTCTGCAGGACAATCATCGAAACTCTGCATCGGGGCTGAGAAACAGGAAACCTCTGTGCTGGGGGCAGCGTGCTGCCCAAAGCCCTTTATCTGGGTGTGGCGGGAAGCAGCAATGCTTTCTGTTTGAAAATTAACTCGCAGCACTCTCCCGTCCACTGATAAAAGGAGCAATTGCCACAGCCCTTTAAAAATAGCTTTACTGCTCTTCTGAGATGGTGCAAGTAATACGGGATCACTTTACTCCGCAAATATAGAAATGTATGAAGAGCAAAAGAAAGACAATGATAATGCGCTTTCCAAGAAAAAAAAACACAAATAACATTTCGGTGTCCATTTTCTTCCAAACTTCTTTCTCTGTGTGCAGATAAATTTACAAAGTTTCTCATAACTGTATAAATTGTAAAAAAAAAAAAAAAAAAAAAAAAAAAAAAAAAAAAAAAAAAAAGGAATAATT